AAAAAAAAAAATGTCCTTTTTGGAAGCCTAGATGAGCTACGGTAAAAGCCTGCGCGGACACTCCATAAATCAATTACCTGGTCCATTAGAACGATAAATTTGCACGGGATGGCCTGGCTGCGGAGGGTGTCTATCGTTATCACGTAATTAGCTCGTTTAGCTGAGGAGCTCGGAGAGCAAAGTTCTGCTAAGTTAATTCACTGARCACTCGCTTATGACCCCTAAGAAAGTGCCAGCCCTGATGCCTCTTGTCAAGCAATCATACATATTTGTGTGTGTGTGTGTAAATATATATATGTATTTCTCCTGCTGCTTCATTATTTAAGGGAAGGAAAATTACGTGAAAAAAAAAATTTTTTTTTTTCAGACTGGGAGCCAGCCTGAAATTGGAATTGGCAATTTATTAGGAAGCAGAGCAGACAGCAACATGCTGTCTTTACATATAGGAAATGATGTAGACAAAGTTTTGAGAGTTTGGTCTTTTTTTCGGGGGTGGGTAGGGGAGGCGTAGGGTTTTTTGTTCGTTTGTTTTGATTTTGCTTTCAATAAAAAAAAAAAAAAAAAAAAAAAAAAAAAAGCTTTGTGACTGTCTCCAACCTATCATAGAACAACATTTTTAGGCACTGACTTTATGGAGAAAGTGTAGTTGGAAGGAGCAGAGGAAGCAGCTGCTGCTCATCTCTGCATCCTAAGTTGCTGAGATGTGTGGAGAGCAGCAGTTCCTTGCTGTCAGCATCAGGTCCATTTGCTGATATCACGCAGAAGAGAACTGCAGTGAAAACAAGCTGTCAGCACAGTTTTTAGTACCTCAGTTTATCCCATCACGCTGCAATCAAATATCTTGCTTTAGCTGAAGCTGATAAAAGGGCGCTGCAAGTGCCATAGTGTTCTAGCTTGGGCATGTAATCATTTTCAAATCTAGGTCCATCAGAATGATAACAAGGTTAAAAATAAACCTGGCTAGTAAAAGTGTTGATTAGCTTCGATGTTAGTATTATTGGGTCGGAAATTGTGACTACATGCAGCTCTGCTAGGAAGGATGAGAAACTCTCTCCAATAGACCCTTTCCAAAGACAAGGCAAGACTGACACTTCACCTGCCAAGACCTAACTTCTGATTGCTTCAGTATTGTCATAAAAATCCCCTATCGCATAAGAACCGATTTTTTTTTCTTTCTTTTTTCTTTTTCTTTTTTTTTTTTTTTCCTGGCTCTCTGAAATAAGAAACAAGAACCTTGAAATAGTACAAAGTGATCATTTCTGCCTGTTACAAAATACTGTCTGGCACCAGTATTGAGTGATTTTTTTTCTAAATATAAATTTCCATCATAGCCATTTCTGAGAATATTRTGTAAATGCTGGGGGTTTTGAATGTTATTAGTAGCGTCTCATACACCTTTCACATGCCGTATGTGTTGCAAGGATTAATCTTTGGGGATTCCTTTAAACATGAGATAAAAAACAATTTAAATAAAAAAATTTTAAATCTTTAAAGTTACATTAGTTTTCCACAGAAAGCACGTGCTGAGAATTCCAGCTGTAACAACCACAGACAGCAATAGAAATAGAAATAGTAAATGTTGACTCACTACAAACAAACATGTCAAATGAYGGAAAATTAGAAATATGAAATATATTCCTCTGGAATCCTGAACTTTTCTAAAGGAAAATAAATAAATCTAAGTGAAGAATCTGCAAATGAAGTTTGAAAATCTCCTGCTGATATATAAATGACCATCACTCACTACCAGCCTCAACTTCCCTCAAGGAAATGCACTGTTTTCATATWAATGCCTATAAAATGCCTAAGTAGATAAGGAAAGATTTTGAGAGGAATATTGTTCCAGAGAATACACTCATGCCATAACCCCACCAGAAGTTAAATAGCTAAGAAGAACACTATTAGTTATGAATGGCATTGAACCAGCATTATTTTTAATGTAAGGCATTATTAATGTCATAGGGGTTATATGCAGGTAAATGCAGAGCTGGATGAATTTATAGTTGAAACCTACTCGATGCCACAACTGCCATTGGGTCAGTTTCCCTCTGCATGAAATGAGTGCAGCTGTACCAGTTTCCGCTACAAAGACTTGGACAAACGTTGCTGAACCGAGTAATGTTGCAGAATATTATGTTACGGCGCGATGAATGTGAACCTCCCAAATGCTGTGAGAAGCAATGTACTATTGCAGCCCACGCACATTACTCCAGGTTTTAGTGGACAAAAAGAAGGCTGGAGTGGGCCGCATRAGTCAGCTGGAGAGATGGGCGGATTTTTTGGCTCGGAAATGGTATGTCAGAGAAGATTTGCGTGATTTTTTTTTTTTTTCGTAACTCATTTCAAGACATGACTAATTGGTTTTTCAAAGAGAGAAGAGTGGATTTTTAACCAGATAACCCATTTTTAGCSTCATGTCTTTTTGACACCAGGTACCTAATACATTTTGTCATATTATATTTAGAGAAAAAAGGCTTTAATAAAGTGTCATTTGTATAAAACCTACTCCCTATTGAACCCCCTATTTTAAAGACCATTTTTATATTGTGGGTTAGGGCTTTCCTGGTCCCAGAACTGGTCAAATAAAGAACATAATAGAATATTTAAATCTATRTTTATGAGTGCATTTTTCATCTTTTACAATCTGCATCTCCCACTCTCTTCCCTTTTCTCTCATACTGCACACTTCACATTCTCCTCTTTTTTTTTGCCATCCAATTTTTATAGAGTTTCTGTACTCCTGATTTCTACAACTTATCTTYTCATAAATGAAAAGAATTTAAGAGAAATGAAAAGAATTGCTCACCAAGAACTGCAAATTCTAAAATGTGAGGAACACTTGATGGCAACTTGCATATGAACCTTCATCCCAGTCCTTAATCTCCCACATTTCTTCTTCTACATCCCAGCAAATTCAGCTTTGCCTTGTTTCCCCAAAGAGCATTTTCTTCCAGCTACTCACGCCAGCCAGAACAAAACAAATGCATATACCAGGCTCAAAACATAGCTTGCTAGTACTTTGCCTAGTCCTAAATTAGYACATTTGCTGTTTTTTTAATTTTTTTTTAAATAAATTGTTACTTTGCTTTGTGTCAAAAAGTGTAGGCAAGGGGTTTGTGATACAAGCCAAAACTACAGTTTTCAGACATWAAGTAGAGAAATAAAAGTGTATGTCTTGGCTCTGTTTCAGCAGGTAAGCATTCAGTGYTCTCCAGCTTAGCCTGGAAGGGCAGGGAAAACAGAGAATCATAGAATCATAGAAGGTGGAAAAACCTCTCAACTTAGAGGAAAAACAAGCACTTACTAAAAAACAAAAGTGGCTAATGAGGAAAGTCTCAATTTCTAGCAAGATAATTACAGTGTTATTTCTTCTTTCTGGGTCTAGGCTCAGATATTTCTTGATCTTAAGTTTTGGGAGATCTATGGCAAGGGAGTCTTTCCCGTTTATCGAATCTCTACTCACCATAGCCTTCTAAAGCCAAAGTTCCTGCCTCCCATACCTAGCTTTACATGTTGCACACTCACCTTAAAAAGTCCAACTCAGTTTTATCTACAGCAACTACAGAATTCGTTTTGACCTTCTCAGTGCTCCTGTTTTGCCAGACACATAGGACACCTTCAGAATTATTCACATCTCTGGGCTTYTCCCTGTCAAAACTAAGCAAGAGTATCTCCTGCCTCCTGCTACTTGCAAAGTGGGCAGCAGTGAGAGTCATATTGTGATTTTCAMTTATTTCTATCGATGGACCATGGGGTGGAAGCGGATGCTCATAGCTCAAGCTGTCAGAGTGAATTGAGTTGCCTGCTGCAACTGGAAACCTCTTCTAACAGGAAGAGCAACTCTGCAGCCCTCCTGGACTGGTGGGAGCAGAGCCTCTTGCAGCTGCATCCATCCATGGCTTGCTGGAAACACTTCAGACCTGGGTGCTGATAGGACAAGAGGAAATGCCCTCAAGTTGCACCAGGGAAGGTTCAGGTTAGATATTAGAAAAAAAAAAATCATCATAGAAAGAGTTGTAAAGAGTGGAACAGGCTGCCCAGGCAAGTAGTGGAGTCACCATCCCTGGCAGGGTTGAAGGACTGTATAGATGAGACACTTAGGGACATGGTTTAGCAGGCAGAGTGGAGGTGGGTTTACAGTTGGGCTTGATGACCTTGAAGGTCTTTTCCAACCATAATGATTCTATGACCTCCATGGCACCTCCTAAAGTCAAGACACCTCAACTAAGCCCATCCTCTGTCATTATACACAGTGACACTTCCTCTGACATATTTTCAGGAGGCAGTTGAGGTTTCCCAAGAACAATTTTGGCTTTAGTTCACTTAAATTATGAAAAAGAGAACAGTGAGTCTTGGCTGATGTGTAACAATGATCATACAATAATTAGCAGCAAGTCTGAACTTCAATAGCATGAACTAAGAAGTCAAACCATTAAATGGATTAAACTGCAAATAAAATCTGTCCTCACACTATTTATGGCTTAAGGAATTGATTCTGGCAATTTGAGCAACAATAAAGACATAAATAAGAATCACTGCTTCCTTGTTTATGCATTGATTAAAATCTGCAGATATC